CAGGTGGCAGGAGGGGGGTGTCCCCTCGAGAGGGCCACGCGGCGAGGGCACCCTGTTGCAGCGCGCACTCAGGTGGCGGAGCCCTGGGTCGGGGCTCAGGTCCTGCGTCTGCGTCAGGGTCCCTGGCTGCGGGCGGGGCGCGCACCCGCCACCTGCCTGAGCAGGCAGAGCGGGTCGGGCGGCTCCTAAAGCTGCTGCAGGATCCTGAGCGCCCCCAACCTCCACACACACACACCTGGTGCCACGCGGGAGCCCTGGGCCCGGCTCAGAGCAGTCAGGGCGAGCGCCAGGTGTGAGGCGGCCGGGCAGAACACCTAGCTCTACCCTACCTGCCCGACCGAATTCAGTGCGCGCTTTGGGGGTCACCCAAAATGTCGATCCTTGGTGCACTGCGCTTGAGGAGGCGCGGGTTCAACCCGGGGACCACCACGAGACTGGGGTGGGGGGTCTAGGGCGGCCACCGCCTGGAGTGTTTGAACAATATGAAAAGCAGTGTGGTTGCCACAGAACCAAACCCAGGCACAAGCCCCCGGCCCGCCCGAACCCGGCAGGGGTGCTAGGGGGCCAGGGCAGCCACCGGCGGAAGTCCGCGATCCGCGCCCCCCGCCCGTCCATCAATCACTTTGCCCGCGCCGCCCTGAGTTCTCTGCCCAGAGCTCCGCCGGCGGTGTGCGGCCCAGCTGAGAGCCCCTCACCTGGCTACCCTGCCGCCCCGCGCGGGCCCTCCAAGGCCAAGCCCCAGAACCATGATCTTTGCCAAGAACGAACGAAGCGGGGCTGGCTTGCCAATGCCTCTCGCGAGCGTGCGTGGCCGCCCAGCCGCCAGGTCTCCCCGGGCCCGCGCCGGCCTCTCCCGGGCCGCCGGAGCCTGCGCCAGCCGCTGGGGCTGGCCCCGGGGCAGGAGGCGAGCGGGCAGCTCACCGCGAGGTTGGAGGCTGTGTCCGCGGGCGCACGAGGAACGGAGAAGGCAAGCGAGGGAAGGAGCGCCCAGCTGTAGTGGACGCTGCGGAAGGTGAGCGGGGACCCCGGAAGACCGAAGACCATGCCCAAATTTGGGGGAGATTGGGGGCGATGCCCAGGCGCTTTCTGCACGCTGGAGAAGTGCTACCCTGGTCCCCGCAGGCGCGGGTCCAAGGACACAGAAATCCCCCCAATTCAGAGCGGTTTGGGGGATTTCGCCAAAAGGGCCTGAAACACGGGTCCCGGGGCGCGGGGTTGGGACAGCGCCGAGGGCGGCGGGCAGCCTAGAACAGTTCGGCTCAACGCCCTCTGATTTGCCTCGGGGTGAATGAGGGACCCCGAATGTGGGTTTCGCAGGGCCCCCACCACTGTGGGAAAAACGGGGTTCTCCAGTACTTTGGAGACCAACCTCGAGAAAGCAGAGTCCACGACTGGGGGTCAAGAAACATTGCCCCGCAGGGTTGGGGCACACAGTTTCTGTGCCTACAGCGGGTAAACTCCAAGTCAGCCGATTCCAAGGCCACTTAGGGGTGACAGGGGGTGCCCAGGAAATTTCTCAATGTGAAATTGAGGGGGGAGCGGTTGATCTAAGAAACACATTGTCCAAATAGATGGAAAACACAGGACTTATTGCCCGGGGGCTGAGCGAAGTCTGAGTGGCAGCAGAGAAGTAGAAATTCATTTCTGCTTTTAGGAATG